AGGGGTTTGAGGCATGCTTATACGAATTGATTTTTCTCATCATTTCAGCCCGAATGGAAGTATTTAATCCATGATCGTCAAGCAACTGTGCTTTAAAAGGATCATTCATTATAAAAAAAAAAGCAAATCTGTCTCAAAGAATAATTCTAAGAAACAAATGTGTTCTCATATTCATGTATTTCCCCCTTGAATACGAAGTGAATATTTACACACTGCAGAACTTGGTAATATATTTTGTATCATTATAACCACAAGCCAAAAGTGTTTTCAGTTGAATATATATCACTGATATGCACAACCCGCCCCTAAAAAGTATATGAAAAATGATGTAAGCGAAATGTATCAGTTTATTTTATCATCAACAAATATTATTTTTCTGCATTCGGAAATAGTATAGAACTATAATTTAATATGTTGGTGATACATATTGATAGCTTCTTCCTGCATTGAATTATTCCATCATTTTGCCATTTTAATCTAAACATTTGCTATTTACACAAAAATCATTATCTTTATTTAATATGTGTAATGCAGATTGTTGAGTTACTACCTCTGAAGTGCATCAAATATGAAGAAGTCTATCGAAATTTGTTTGAATATAAAATTAGAACACCTTTTAAAAACTTACGTTTAAATTTCATGGCTAAAGCTTACCAAAGGGATGTTAGACACAGCGGAAACTTACCAATACCCTCCGTATTCCGACAATTGAAATATTATGCCTTGTATAACCCAGACTGTTAAAGAAGAATATATTTTTAAACCGGTGAATTTCTTAATATTATTCTTCCATTTTCTCTTCTTCTTCTTCTTCTTCTTCTTCTTCTTCTTCTTCTTCTTCTTCTTCCTTCTTCTCTCTTCCTCGTCCTTCTTCTTCTTCCTCTTTTTCATCACATTCCTTTTCTTCTTCTCCTTCTTCTTTTTCTTATTATTCTTCTTCTTCTTCTTCTTCTCCTTCTTCTCCTTCTCCTTCTCCTCCTGCTCCTTTTCCCATGTCAACTACGACTGCTACTACTACTTCTACTTTTGCTACTTCATCTACTCTTACTACTTCTTCTTCTTCTTCTTCTTCTTCTTCTTCTTCATCTCTTCCTCCTCTTTCTCCTTGGTTCTCGTTTCTCCATCTCCTTCTCCATCATCACCTTTCCGTTTTTTGTCATTTATTTCATTTCACCAGCGTGTGATTTCCAGGTGTGTCATTTTGAAGGAACATGCATGGAGGAACTCGATGGATTTCGCTGCATCTGCCCTGATATTTTTTTTCGGAATGCATTGTGAAGACTTGGACTTCGATAGTTGGTACGAAAATTGGTCACAGGAATAGTTATACCTAAAAGGGATTTGAGAATCTGCACATGTTTTAGAATGATTGTCATGTAGCTAATCAATGCAAAAAAAAGTTTGTACGTCGGCAAAGCTGTTGTGCAGGACAAATAAATTATTCCGTTTATTGTTGTCTGCTATTTTGTGCCATTCTGCACGAGTGGCAAATGAGCATTATGTGCTAATCGGCTCATAAGGCAAATGAAAGGTAAATTCTCTCAATGTTCAAGTTCTAAGCGAAGAGCCATAAGAACTAGACTGACTCACCTGAAAAATATGTCGTGAGATGATTTTTTATTCCACATAATTATAATTTCTTGACAGATTATTTCGTACGTTTTTGTTTAACTCTAGAAGAAGAAGGTAATCCAATAGCGTAGGTAGTTTGTCAGTATGGGATGGGAGGGGGATCAGCACCCCCCCCCCTCAAATACAGATGGAAATCATTCACATTGAACGCAACCATTGCACATATATGATTACGATAATAATACTTATTACAGTTATACAAGATTGAATGGCAATCTAAATTTTAAAAAGTACAATAGAATCATGCATGTTAGTCTGTTAAAATATTACAAAATATTAAGTAAATTTTACAAAATTAGGGGTAGATTTTACTTTGTATGACTTTTCCCAATTCTTTTTTTGGTTTAAATTGTATAAAATTGAAGTGATAAGGATGATGATAATAATCATGAAATTGCACGAGCAGAGCAGATGAGTATTTAAAATATTCTCACTTTAACAATTGAAAAGAACAGGTCTTTCTCACTATGGCTTAAATAAAGTGCTCCTTTACCCATGTGATAAGTGCATTAAAATGTACATATCTCGCTTTAAAGAACTGATTCAAGCAGCTTATGTAGCAATGGTTATAGGCTTACATTATCGCTACTACCATAACGTTTAAAGGGATAGTTGAGTTCTGTTTTCAGACCGCAAATGCCTTCAAAGTGCATGGTTATTGCTCTTATTCTTATTTATGACATTTCTAGTGCCCTTTTAGAACCTCAAATTGCTATGAAGGTAATTTTAGACCCCAAAATGTGTGAAATTTAGCCAATACGAGCATACCAATTCAGCTCCACTTTCAAAAAACACGGTGACCGTTAATTAATTATTTAATTAAAAATAACAATACATGGGCCGGCTGGTTGTGTGTAATATAAGCAACACTAAAATGCCAACATAAAAACCAACGTCGGCATTGGCTGAAATACGACGTAAAAGGCGTTATTTCGTTTTTTGTCAACGGTTTTTTTTTTTTTTTTTTTTTTTTTTTATCTAATATTTGTGGTGGTACACAAGTATTAGAAATTGCTAGATTTCAGCCGTCTCTCGACCGATTTTGATCAACCAAAGATGATTTTGTCATTCAAATATTATGTTCTTTCAAATTTAATACTCAGTTTTTCATTATCTCACAAAAAAAAAATTATGTTGTGTAGCGCCCTCTGCAACAGAACTCAACTATCCCTTTAATAGCCGCGAAGCATAATGTCCCTAATATTGCTAGAACGAAGAGTGCTCTTTTTTAAAGCATATTCAAACTCATACAGTAATGCTATCAAACGACTTTCGGTGACAAATTTATTTCAATATAACATTGAAAACACGTCTGCCCCTGTTAATAGTTAGCCGCCTCGGACATGATCTGTCTCAATCACACTTAATTTCAGAAGAAGAACGATAAGCAGAGATAGCCTACGTCATCTTTTGTTTGCATATACATGTACACGTAGACATTATGTAGAAATCTACCTAACTGAAAAGAAATGATGGGAAAATATTTTCACAGTAATCGGTATTGTTTTTTTTAATTTCAGTTTACTATTTATGTATGAAAGCAATCATTATGCGAATTAGAATAGTGTTCTTGCTATACACTGTCTGCTGATAGCTGGTAGGGTGTCCGTGTGTTCTTGTTTTACTAGCCATCCCAGAAGAGACCCGAAGCTGTGACATCATTAAAAATCGTAATGTTATGAACCAGAGCACTATAACACTGAGTTCCCATAGGACATCTATTTATTCAGATGGTCATATCTCATCCAATACCTAATATATTCAATAGGTTTTCAACATTCGGACATCATTTTTGATGCTCTTTCGAAAAACGAAGAAACAATTGAGTAAATTCTAAAAATAGATTTGTTTGATGACGTCACACTTCACCACTCTATTTCATGCTCATGCCTACATTTGTAACATGTTTCTGTATATTATACGGAAAATAAAATTGAATCTGAATCTTGAATCTGAATCTGAATTTGAATCTGTTATTCTATTCACATACAGACCTCCCGTCTGTCGCATACAAATATATCATAAATTTCTGTTTTTCTCCTAAGCGCCCTTGTCCCTTGGGCACATCTCAAAATATTCAAGCTGCCCACAATATATTTTGAGACGAGCCCAATTTTCACTTGGAGGTTTTTTTAATTTTTATTTAAAGAACCTTAAAGGGATAGTTGAGTTCTAGTTTCAGACCGCAAATTTCGAATGCCCTTTTAGGACCCAAAATTGCTATGGAGGGAATTTTAGACCCCAAAATGTGTGAAATTTACCAATACGATCATACTAATTCAGCTTTACTTACACAAAAAATACGGTGACCGTTAATTAATTAATTAATAACAATACATGGGCCGGCTGGTTGTGCGTATTAGAACCAACACGAAAGCCACCAAAAAGCCAATATCGGCATTGGCTGCAATAAAAACCTATAAGGCGCTATTTCGTTTTTTCAGTGGCTGGGTCAAATTATTTAATATTCGTGGGGTACACAAATATCAGAAAGGGTTATATTTATGGATATTTCAGCCGTCTCTGAACCGATTTTCATCAAACAAAGATGAATGTGCCATTTCAATTGTATTGTATTGTTGGTGTCATGAATGGCCCATTGGTCTCATAATGAACCCTTTGAAGATTGTGAGATGACCCCTGTAAATAATCCTTTAAAAACGTCGTTGGGGCTGTGCGACCCTACCCCATCACTATGGGATCACCGTCCCTGGCCCCGACCCCATCCCCCACTCACATTAGATGGGGGCTACTTAAAGGAATGGCTAACACACGCTTGGTTTTTATAGCCCTCGAGCCAGGACGGGATTGCACACGCACGCTTTCGAACGAGATGAAGACGAGTTGAATTGTCTCTGAATGGTGTGGTCGGATAACAAACTAATTAGAACAAGTTATGAATTAGTTATAATGGGTTTGAACGTATTGAGAACGAGGTAGAACTAGATAAGAAAGGGTTTAAGCTGACAACAGACGGGCTTGGACTGCTTGGAAATGGCAAATTTACCCGAACTGAAGTTTAAATAAACTGACTATGGACGGGGCAAAGATGAGATGGACGTATTGAAGACTGTTTATGAATTAAATTAGGATCGTATTATAGACATTATTTACAAATTCTACCCCGACCGCGACCCGTATAACGATTTTCTAGGATGGTTCTAGAACGTAGTGAGAACTAGTTTGGTGTGATGGGGCATAAGCTCTAAAGACCTAGCATGCATCAAATCCATGAAAACAGTAGTTTCAAGATTCTGTTTAGCTCTTCTTTTCCGGGTTCGACGTAGGCAATATACGAACGCTGCGATAAGAATAATGCTCGAGACGGGAATACTGATTCCGAACGATAAGAAAAGGTTGCGGTGGTCTTAATTAGATTGTAGATGTCCAGGTTCATCCGAAATGAATGGTTCAAGTGTGTTTGAATGCATAGATGCATCCTTTGATAGCCCTTCTACGGTGGTGATTGGCGACGAAGAATCAGTAGTCTCGATCTCAAAAGTACTCGTAGATTCTGAAAGGTAATAAAGAATTGAGAAAGAAAATTAAAAAACGCTCATAGTTTCATTTAGTGCCTCAAACAACAAGGAGATGTGTTTTATTTCTTGCACCTACTGCATGTCTTTGATTCCTTCAACCTTTTGTTTCTTCTATTTTTTTGTTTTGTTATTTGGCTTGAATTCAAAATGTGAGGAACTAGGTAAACATGATACAAAATAATAAGCAATTGTTCTGCTTTGGTTGCAATAATTGTTTACCCTGAAAACCGTCGATAAGACGAGAATAGAAAGTAACAGTTCCGAGTGTCGTGCTCATCCAATAAGCACCCAAAGAATTCATTGTCGGGCAGCTGTAATACTAGGTTTAACGGGCTTTTTACAAATACGCTCTTCAAATAGTCTGAACGAAATTAACATCCTGAATGGTTAGAAGTCATTCAAGAAACCTAGAAAAATAAAAGGACGTTAATAAACTTTGTTTCAATATTATGTTGAATCTAAATTATGTTAAACCCTGAGGGTGACATTCCTACGAAGTGGAAACATACCCAATGAATAACATACAGCACCTGCATCATTAGCATGGCCCCATGGACTATAGTCTCCAACTCCAAAATGAGCACAGTCTGCTAGGTTTTCTTCCGTTCCATCACAGCTAACAGAGACCAGAAGAATAGGACCAGAGCCTTGACCAAACCTAGCAGATGTCGGCGCTTCTAAGGCTCCGTCAAACCCGAGCATTCTGCAAACCACCATAGCGTCTCTCAGATCCCAGATCCAATCATATACAGTTCCCCAGGATCCGTCATGCATAACTTCTACTCTTCCTTCAGCTTTGTTCGCTCCACCGATCAGACGAACTTGGAATGGATTTGGATGGGCTACAAGAGAATAAGAACTTAATTATTCTTCTTAGGAATGATATCACAAGTTCCAGCACACGTTCAATGAGATTGCCTAAGGGCAATTACAAAATAAATTACTATTGATCGCATTTATTTGTCTTATCCAAACTACCTAATGATTAACTTTATGTTCAGAGTGGGCTAAAGACTTTGAGTAGGAAATACTCATTTTTGGCTTGAAATGAATGTGTAGAACTAGTGGAACATAAACCAAAATGAAGACATTATTCTGCTTTGGTTGTAATTGCTTACAATGCAAACCGTCGATAAGACGAAAAAAGAAAATAACTGTTCAATATTCATGTTCATCCTATAAGCATTCAAAGAAATTCATTGTCGGACAGCTGTATTTAAAGGTTTATACGGGCTTTTTACAATTACGCTCTTCAAATATCTTTACTAAAATTCACATCCAAAATTGATAGAAGTCATTCAAGATCATAATACTAATAGACTTTGTTTCATATGATGGTGTATCTAAATTATTGTTAAACCCTGAAGGTAACATTCCTATGAAGTGGAAACATACCCCCTGAATAGCAAATGGCTCCTGCATCCCATGTATGACTACATGAGTAACGTCCGATCCCTGCATGAGCACAGTATGCTAGGTTGTCTTCTGTCCCATCACAGCTAACACCGGTCAGAAGAATATGACCAGAACCTTGACCAAACTTAGCAGATCTTGGTGCTTCCAATGCGCCATCAAACCCGAGCATTCTGCAAACCACCCTGGCGTCTCGCATATTCCACCACTTACCGCAGATAGTTCCCCATGATCCACCGTAAAGTACCTCTACCCTGCCTTCAGCATCGTTAGACCCACCGACAAGACGAACTTGGAATGGATCTGTGGGGAGAACCAGAAAGGCGAACGGGATTTTTTTCGTTAAAATAGAATACTGCCATGGCACATTAATTTATTTATCATCTAGTTATCCAATAACCGTTCATATAAATTCATTGTCGGGCAGCTGTACTAATAGGTTTTCACGATAACTTTACTAATACGTTCTACGAATAGCTTGATCGAAATTAACATCCGAAATTGTAAGAAATCATATAAGAAACGAATCAAAATTACTGGACGATAATTGACTTGTTTATAATCTGTTGTATCTAAATTAGAGGGTAATATTCTTATGAAGTGGAAACATACCCCCTGAATAACATTTGGCACCTGCATCTACAGCATGTTTACATTATCCATATTCATAATATTCAACTCCTTGACGAACGCAGTCTGCTAAGTATAAAGAGCGTATGAATCAACAATATTCTAAAACAAGTTATATGTAAATGCAAAGTTTTGGGAAATTTTGATAATTGGATTGATAGTAATTTTTTTAAATGTTGATATATCTGGATGCTGTGGATATATTATAAGCACCAGGAAATGTATCTCCTAAAACACTTCTGCTTGCGAGAAAATGAATAATAAAACATTTACCGGCGCTCCCGGTAAATTTCAATTAGCGCCGAAGGCCATTCCATGTTAGCAGCAGCGACCATCATAATTAAAATCTAAGAATATGCAGTTCTGATCATTGGCGCCGGAAGTGGGGTGGCCCCAAACAAAAAGTGGGGGGGGGGGGCAAAAAGCATTTTCGCCCCCCCCCCCCCCCTCCAAAAAAAAAAAAAAAAAAAATCGGTAAAGGAGTAAAGATGGTTGTATTTTTAACCCAAAAGAACATAACAATAATAAAGACTTGAATTAAATCACATATAAAATTCCATTCAAAGAAAAGGAAAGTTAACAGGAATTAAATTTCCTAAACATTGCGCATGCCACCTATATTTTTTTTTTTTTTTTTCATAGGTTTTTATTCATAACTCTCAAAGAAAAATTGTACATTTATAACATTGGATACAAAATAACAAAATAATTTAACATAGGTCTTTATAAATTTACCAATGATCTTTTACATTTACATACAAAAGTTACACCTCTTCATTTTCCTTTGGAGACAAAAAAAAAAAATTGAGGTTTTTATAATAGCGATACGCGCATATCGTGGGCATATTGTGAGAGAATGGGAAAGTAAAATATGCTTATTTAGAAGCCTTGGTCATGTCATGGTCTGAGCCCCCTCACTTTTTGAAAAAAAAGTATGTTACAGAGAAAAAGAAAGGAAGAGAGAGAGAGAAAACATAAGTGACCTGCCAATGTCACAAATGAGGTATCAAAATATGCTCATCTGACCGTAATTAATACCTAACATCCCTGAGCTTCCGGGAGTTCTGCCCCCTGTACCCTACAAAGGGCCCTAAGGCCCACAAAGGGCCCTAAGGCGGCCCCTAGATGCTCTTCTGACCGTATTTTAATATTAAAACCTCTGAGCTTCCGGGGGCTCTGCCCCCTGGACCACATCAATGGCCTAAAAGAGAGCCCCTGGATTCTCATCTAACTGTAATTAAATACCCGAAACCCCTGAGCCTCCGGGGGCTCTGTCCCCTGGACCCCACAAAGGGCCCTAAGGCGGCCCCTGGATGCTCATCTGACCGTTATTAAATACCTAAAACGCCTGAGCTTCCGTGGGCTCTGCCCCCTGGACCCCACAAAGGGCCCTAAGGCGGCCCCTGGATGCTCATCTAACCGTAGTTAAATATTAAAACCTATGAGCTTCCGGGGTCACATCAATTACCTTAAAGAGGGCCCCTGGATGCTCATATAACCGTAATTAAATACCTATAACCCCTGAGCTTCCATGGGCTGTGCCCCCTGGACCACATCAATGGCCTTAAAGAGGGCCCCTGGATGCTCATCTAACCGTAATTAAATAACCGAAATCCCTGAGCTTCCGGGGCTCTGCCCCCGGACCCCACCAATGGCCCTAAGGCGGCCCCTTGATGCTCATCTGACCGCAATTAAATATTAAAACCTCTGAGCTTCGGGGGCTCTGCCCCCTGGATCACATCAATGACCTTAAAGAGGGCCCCTGGATGTTCATATAGCCGTAATTAAATACCTAAAACCCCTGAGCTTCCGGGTGCTCTCCTCCCTGGACTCTCCGCCAATTAACGACCTGCCAGTGTTACAAATAAGGTATCTAAATATGCTTATCTGGCCGTAATTTAATGCCTAAAAACCCTGAGCTTCCGGGGGCTCAGGCCTCTGACCCCCTGCCGAGGCTCAGACCCTTGACCCCAAGCCAATTTACGCTCTACCTGATCGTTAATACTCCACTTTGCAAAACGTTCCGCGGGGCCTGCATGTAACGTGTGAGAGTAGTGATGATGAAGATTTTTCTTCTGCCCCCCCCCATTCCAAACGTTTTTTGCTCATTACGTCAATGCCCCTGGAAGGTGAGCCCCCTGGAATGTTTGCCCCCCCCCCCCCAATCCCAAACTGCTTCCGGCGCGCCTGGTTATGATACATAATTTCCCAACGGGAATAGCAAATCGGTCGATTGTAGTCCAAAAACATTGTTTTAAAGCTAAAGTAATATCAGTCTTGAGAGGGCGCTCTACAACATAAAGAGTTTATTATTTACGATTCCATCACTTTAGACTCGATTTCAACCGCGACAAAGATCATTGAATAATATAAAATAATAACAAGTTTATTTGAACCAAATTCATGACCCCATACCAAAACTTGTTATTACCCTGAATAACCAAAGACGTATTAGCGATAATTACCCAACAAGGAAATAGACGACATAGAATAAATCATTATTTCTTTTTTTTTAAGATAAGATAAATGACTCAAATAGAGTTGTATTTATACAACCGGCAAAGATCTGGCGAGGGCTTTTACTTGGCTTTTGTTTCATCTTCACACATTTCAGTGTTAAAACAATGGTCGAAATCATATAACTAGCAATTGCACAGGCTACACTTGAAAGTGAAAGGTACCAAGTACCCATTAAAACCAGGGTTCAGAGAATCTATACTTAGATGTGTTGCTTATGAAGTAACGTGGTATATCGACCTTTGCGTTCCCGTGCGAGTCTTTGAACTACCCGATCTCTACTATACTAAGCTTGTGCTTGTCTGTGGATCCACTAGTTGCCTTATCTTTTGTTAAAGTCTATGGGATCGTATTCTCATTGATGGAAGAATTCATTGTTTTGCAAATCATACTCAAAATATTGCCTGAAAAAATATGTCTATTATTTCCATTGCTGTTCAAAGTATCGGCTCCAAAACTTGATTGTTGGTTACTTTAGCTCCAGCCTTACATCGAAGTACAAAATGCAATTCTTCACTTTCGAAGTTCAGTTATTTATTTCATTTGAAAGTGTGCCCGTCCTCTTTGCCGATATCATTACCATTGTCAAAAGTTGATGTTAACATCCTAATATCTTTTTGTTTTGTTTTGCATCTTTCTTTTCTTTAAAAATGAAATGTCACGTATGACCCGATTTCATATTTGTGAACTACAAACTCTTCTAGCAACTTATTTAATATTATAACATAGAATAAGGTACGATAAATATTCCTGCAAAAACTTTCTGAAAGAAGCTCAACTGGTCTTATAGGCCCGAATTCACAAACCTTGCTTTGTGAATTCGGGCCATTTATGTATATTTTCCTTGCAGAGAAGAAGTTCAATCATTGTACGTACACTATATTTGACACCCGCACATAAGAGTGAACATGAAAACAAAAAGATCAGGCTATTCCTTTTTCATTATCATTTTCATTCAACCGATGATATGATATTCACTGAATAGTACTTATCCGTAGAATTTGAACATTTTGTTGGTAGCTCTGGAGCTTTTTAAACTGTATATTCAAACAATACTTACCCATGGTTCTCCCTCCAACCACCGTGCATACGCACAAGATCGCTATAACTAAAAGTAATAGGTACACACACTTGATGGAAATCACCCTCATCCTGTTCAGAGAGAAGATACAACTTGATTGAAGTGAGATTCTCAACGCAGTCTCCTGTATCTAATACAAAAATAAGAGGTTACAGGACGCATGCGCTAACGGCTTACACACAGCTGGCTCGTTTAATTATCCTTTACAAATGTTAATACCTATTGGCAAACATGACGTAAGCATACTTTTGTATTGTGAGAATTCATTCGCAGTCACTGTGGAAATGTGGACTAGTTTATTTTTAATGTAGATCGCGGACGTGTCCGATTATGCAAATTAGTTCATTACAAATGATGCGGATGGATAATTGATTGTTTAAATGAATGAATTAAGAAAGAATACCCTTTACAATGGTCAACCAAGAATACAGAGTGAATTTTTTGTGATTATATGATTATGAGTGTATACAGCTCACATGATTAATGTACTTAATGCAATGATGACATGGTATTAAAGCAGCCATTCTATAAACACATCTATATATATCAATGGCAAGCTTATGACCTCAGGAATTTGGAAACAACTATTTCAGATTTTGTTGATACTTAATTAAAGATAAAGGTGAGTTCCCCGATTGCATTGTGAAAGAAAAGGTGTGGAATGGATCGGAAAAAAGTTGATCATGTAGCAAGTATTGGTATGTCCTGCGAAGTTCTGGAGTCATCAAAATCATAATGAATTTGGCCCAGTCTTGGTAAAGTAACAAGCACTGTACACAGAAAGATGTATATGAGACTACACAAATGGTGTCGGGGCTACTAACCTTGAATTCCTTAATCTTTCTATGCTCATTACTCAGCCTAGGTACGTACGCAGGGTGGGGGGGGGGATGGGTTTTGGGGTTAACCCCCCCCCCCCTTGAGTTTTTTTTAATGTATATTTTTGTTTTCCTCTTATGCCCCCCCCCCCGCGCTTATTCTGCGGCTGGCTGAGTCGTTGCGATTTTTTGGGGGACTCCAAAAAGAGTCGTTGCGAAATTTTGGGCCTGATCTTAACCCCCCCCCCCCCTTAAAAAAATCCTGCATACGCCACTGACTCAGCCAGTATACATTTTCTACCAAAATTGTATGGCAAATCACATTTATTTGTAATCTTGAACATTCAGTGTAATTTTCGTTTGATTCTGTGAGAATTATAATTTTCTTTTTTTACCAGAACTAACCTTTAGGCCTATGTTTAAGCAAAAACACAAGTTCATTTTCTCGCCCAAATAAAACTGATAAAACACCCCATAAACATTTTGTTGACATGTATACACGTATGTTTAATTCAGAAATTACAATAAATTGAAAACACTTGCCTCCTTTCTGGCTTAATTTCCATCGTGTTTGGATAATAAATCGTTAAATAGGCTTAATGATAATAATGATGATAATATGACGATCGTCTAGCGTTTGTTGATACGGCGTGTTAATCCGGAAGTGGCCTTACTTCAATCGCCCACGTATCATTAAGCGCCCAGTTTGTATGATTTCGGTTTCGTTTATGCGGGGGGGGGGGGGGGGGTCTAGCCAAGATTCAGTTTTAAATCTCTGATTGTGGTCACATATGTATTGTTAGGAAAAAGAATGACATGATTCACTTTCTCTTTCTATAAACCATTAAAGCATGACCTTGCATTTGACATGCGATGTCTATTCTAATCAACGTCTATTATATAAGTTAGAAGAGAAACCAGTGAAGTAGTGAGAAACTATATAACCACTTGCCTCTTACATGAGAATAACATACATTGAAAGAAAACCACAAACAGATTATGAAGTATGATTGATTTGGTAATAGACTTGTTCAAGTGACCTCTAATAATAAATATTGTGTTGTCATTGAGACACTTGACATATATACACGTACATGTATACTGTACAAACATCTAAAGGTACGTAAAAAAGTAAGTTAGAAAATGTGTTGAACAAGTGCACACACAAAGGACTACTTTGAAATTAAAGGGATAATATGAACAAAGGAAACAGATTATACAAATTTTACACAATCTAAAAATCTAAGCATAATTTGATCATGTCATTAATATTATCATGCACACTAATCGATCAATAATGAATTGTTTGTTTTGAATTGAAATGACAAGAAGAGATTTGCTGGCAATATACAATGAGGATAATAACAGCTTTGATATGCCATATTTTTAGAATGCAGATACAACATACATGTCTCTATAAAGGGTAACCAGAAACATCATTAAGACTAATTTAATTGTAAGGTCGCGTGTTGTATATTTTTCTAATGACGTTTCGACGTTTAATACTCTCTATATAAAGAGCTTCATTCCATAAGAATTAAATCCACTTTGGGTACTTCTGAGTAAATCGCCTTTTAACAATTATTTCTCCACTTTCCATTTAGCCATGTACCTTCATGTTGTTATATATGTTAAAGGTGACCCTGGACCAATAATATATGATGAGAAAAAATTATTATTTTTTGAAAATATTTACTAAATGTTAAGATTTTTATTTTTGTATATTTAGCTCCTTTTGGAATAAAACATGTTATTCCAAAAAATAACTTAATTGTATGCAGTTTTCAACCCCAAAAAAATTACACGTTATCTGCTCATATCCTCTCCCCCCCCCCTCCCCCTCCATTCCTCCTCGCTCTCTCTCCGTTCCTCTCACTTCCCCCTGCTCGCTCTCTGTCCATTCCTCTCAATTCCCCTTTCTCTCTCTCTCTCTCTCTCTCTCGTCCAATTTATTTCTCACCCTCTACCCCACTTCCTTCACTCTCCCTCTCTCATTCTCACGTTCTCACTTTCTCCCTCTCTCTCTCTCTCTCTCTCTCTCTCTCTTTTGTCCCTCCTAGTCCTACAATACCACTTTACCCATTGGTTCAAATACTAGGGAAATTCAGTTCATTGTGTTTTATGTGTGCAGATAGTGAGCTATATATTTTTCTTGTTCTAAATCTTACTTTTACTCAATTTGCTGAGGAATACAATGAATTATTAAAAGTTTTACACATCAAATTATCGTAAAAATGGCAAAAAGCATCTTTATTTCTCTTATGCTTGATCAAATCATACAACAACAAAAAACAGAAAGTATTGTACAAAAGGAATACAAAAATATTGCACTTTAAAAGAAACTGTACAAATGATGACTGTCATATTATTAGCATTACAAAAACAAAGTGACAATTCTTTTCCTATACCCATCTACACTGCATGTACACTGTCATAATGTAAAATTTTTAAATATCATTCCAAATGACCATCAAGAGAATGGTCTTACAAATATTACTGAACATGTAGTTGGAAGACAATGAAGTATTCCATATTTGTGTGCATCATCACTATTAAAAAATAAAACAATTACAGTGAGTGTAATTGACCTACATTGTATAGTCCATAAGATTCTATTTCTTACATTAACTTTTATCAAAATACACTTATTTCACCGAAAATAAATATCATTACTTTTGTTAAAGTTTACTTGAATTTGGGAATAGATACATGAAGGTGTAATGAACAAAAACAAGTATGTAAAAAGAGCGTAACTTGATCTTGATATAGATGATACTGCTCCAAGTAAACTAATCTTTTTTTACTCTATTTTTAATTTCAGAAAGAAGCCTTATACACTCTTTTGAAGACTTTCTGGCCTTATTTCAGAACAAGGTGGTCAAAACGGAAGACTTGAAGGTCATTCAGCCTCTGGATATTAAGAATGATAAAGTGTGACTGATCTAAATATCCTTAATATGGATAAGCCTCTGATATTCAAAATGTTCAATGTAGATGCATACACATGGTGGTTCCCTCTTTTACAGAAGCATATTGACAGAATACTAATGAAAATTGCCTTTTGAAATATTAAATTTCCTAAAATACTTTGACCTTTAATAATTTAATAATTTCTGCCTCAGTTCAGTTTGCTTTCTAAGTTCTACTGAAAGATTTGAAGGGTAGCAATTATCCTTTGAAATGGGCTTAACTGATTAAAAGATTTTGGCTACTTATCCTTGGCATCAAAAGATGCTCTTCTAAGGCGAAAGAATGGCATGAACATACAGTCAAACCTGTCTATAGCAACCACCCAAGGGAAACACAAAAAAGTGGTCTTTGAAGAGAGGTGGTCTTTGTAAACAGGTTCCTTTAGTACATGTTTCAATGAGAAATAATTTTCAAGGGAAACAAGAAATATGGTATTTTTTAGACAGGTAGATTTTATAGACAGGTGGTCATTAAAGCAGGTTTGACTGTACATGTTTTTTAGAGGATTATTGAGTACCCATGATTGCCGGGTGATTGCCCACTCTCCCTTCATACATGGAGATGAGGGTGTCCCACTGACCAGGTTTGCCCTCTCTTCTGACCGGGGGCAGCACAGGGTGGGTAGCACATTTGGGGAGAGGGTAGAAAGCCTGGGCATGCCTGGCTTTCTCCTTCTGCCTTGAGACATTTGCCCTTGCATCCATGACCCTGTCATTCTGTTCCTGCGCCATTCTTGTATCGTGGGCTGCTTTCTCGACAGCAACCTGGGCTTGTCGCATCAATTGCCGATGCTCCAGGTACCTATGGACCAGTTCACGTTGACTCATCTCATGCTTGTGCTCGGCGTGGGCAAAGTCTTCTTTCTCCTGCAGGAGCTTCTCGCCTCTCGCTTGCCTATCATGGCGCAGCAATGCATTGGATATAGACGTGTGCTGACTACCGAATTCATGACTGAATGTATTCTCCTTGCGCACCCTAACCTTGATCTCAGAATCCTTGCTTCGGAGCTCTCGCCTCTTTTCAAGCTCGTCAATCTCCCTGTTTGCTTGTCTTTCATAAGCATGTGAAATGTTGGTGATCTCCTTATCCCGTTTCTGCATAGCTTTCAAGCGTTTTTCTTCCAGGAAGTCCTTTGCTCTCAGTTTGCCTTCTGCTTTCTGTTCTCGGATCATAGCTACCTTGTCACTCTTGGCTG